AAAGGCTGGGAGGGAAATCAGGGGAAGGGCTTGGCCTCCGTGGCTTGTCTGCGGCCTCTAAGGACAACCCGTTGGTTGCTGTGTCAAATGGGAAGCTCGATTAGGTGGTCCACCTGGTCTGACCCAGCAGGTCTCTTCTTACGTTCTTAAGGAGCACGTGGTGGGGTGAGAATGGGCTGAACTTCCAAGGGAGCCGCCCCCACCAAGTATCTTCCATCCCTCCCTCCTGGGCTCAGCTCAGCGAAGGAAAAAGTATCTACCGAGGAAGAGCCTGCAGGGAGCCAGCCAATGGAACCGGGTTGACTCCCTGCACACCGGATGCCCTCTCGCTCCTTACAATTCAGCCACCTCATGACCAGTGCTCCCTTCTAAGCTGTGGAGTCTTGGGAACAAAATCCTACTTTAGCAAAGTTAGTTTGCTCTGGAGCCATCCCTTCCTGAGCTAAGACAAAAATGCGTGAGCCCGAGGCTAAAAAAACCCTGTGAGCTAGCTCACACTAACTCAGCTTAGAGGGAACATTGCTCATGACAGACTTGCATTTGAAGAGACACACTTAGTATTGCTTCCACCATGAGAGGGAACTCAATTCCTAGACCAACAAGAATCTATATCTAAGGCCCTTTTTTGTGTGTCTGCCCGTACACACCAGTACGATGTTCCGACGCTTCTTTCTGGTTGGCCTCTTTGCAAAGAGGCCGGCCAGAGAAGGTGGCGGGTGGGATAGGATACTCTGCGCACAATGACGATGTCATCAACAGGCGCGATGGAGTATATTGGGCTGCTGTGTTGCCTCCTCTGCAGGCCTCCATCATGAGTCCCGGTACTTTTAACTTCTACGCCCTGTCCAATGTTCCCCCTAAGCTGAGTTAAGTGAGAGCTAGCTCACAGTTTTTTAGCCTCCGGCTCACACATTTTTGTCTTAGCTCAGGAAGGATGGCTCCAGAGCAAACTAATTTATGCAGTAGCCAAATCGCTTGCTCACAACTTTAATGCCAGTAGCTCACAAAGTAGAATTTTTGCTCACAAGACCCCACAGCTTAGAGGGAGCATTGGCCCTGTCTATACTACATCTGCATCTGTGGGTGTGTGCATAGGATACTAGTGTTTGTGCAGAGGATGGAGTTCCCAGAACCAGCTTTTTTGATGTGCTTTCTTGTCCTACAGAGAACGCATACCCCATTCCTCAAATACAGGGTAAGGCCAACACAATTCACTCCCAAGTTATCGTGATATGCCACTGCAAACTTTGAGGCTGGCCTGGGAAGGTTTGGGCATCAGAGGCTTTGAATGAGCCCCTGCACTCAGCTGACTATACAGCTGCCTCCTCCCACCCCCAAAAGCTGCACTTCTGACCCAAGTGTTTAATTCTCTGCATTGTTTTGGGCATGCCCCCCCCCCTTCAACCTCATTAGCTTGTCTGAGGCACAGGGTGATCAACACTGAAACGGAAGAGCTCTTGACTGCATGGCAGGGTAAAAGAGCTCCACCCTTTCAGGGTAGTAATGGGTTTGTGTAGCAAATCACCTCAAAGCTGTCACTGGGGAAGCCGCAGGAGGACTCTTCATCTCACCCCGACCCATAGCCAGAAAGACATCTCAGTCCCATACTGCACGTTAGCGCAAGGACTTAAGGATTACTGACCACTAGTCTCAAAAAAGACATCAACGGCAGTTTCCCATTAGAAAAGAGCAAGAGTCCAGTAGCGCCTTCAAGACTAACAAAATATGTGGCAGGGGGTGAGCGCCTGTGAGTCACCGCTCACTTCTCCGGACTGATGAAAGCTCCTCCCCTGCCACAAATTTTGTTAGTCTTTAAGGTGCCACTGGACTCTTGGTCTTTTCTGCTGCTACAGACAGATCAAGACGGGTAGCCTTGTTAGTCTATCTCAATGCAGTTTCCCACATTTGCAAAAAAACGAATCAATCAACATTTCCCACATATTATACACACGGAAAGGCATTCTGACAAGTGCATCTGTGGATGCTGGTTGCATTCCCATTTGTTGTTTCCAGGCGCACCCCCAAGAAAGCACATTAAGGTGCGCAGTGCAGCAGTTATCCTGTTCCCCAAAGCCACAGACTCTGTGGGACCCTTGAGATTGAGTTCCTCTGCTCAAGTCCACGTTTGCACCACTGGGACTTGAAAAGGGCATATCCCTTGCATATTACTGGGAGAATAAAAATGAAGACGCCTCAGAAAGTGTTTACAACAGCACAGTGCAAGCTCACCAGGGAAGAAAAGAGACGAAAGGCCAAGAGGACAGGCGCTTTAAAACCTTTTCCAAACCCACGTCCCTCTGAGATATTGAAGACAAGAAACAATATATTTAATAATTCACTTATGACACTTGAGTCCTGCTTCTAAAAAATGGCCCCCTGGTTGCAGTCAGCTCTCATCTGGCTGAACTCCAACAGTGTGACATAATCCAGTGGTCCCAGACCACACCATTGGCCCCACGGATAGGAAATGGTAAAGAATGGCTGTAATCCCCTCCCACTTCCCACTCCGCAGGGAAAAAAGAGCACGGATGCAAAGCCAGTACCTGCCATATCCCCTATCTGAAAGCCTGGCAAAAGCTCTGAGACATCGGAGGATTTGCCTACAGAATGAGAAGAAAACACACACAGAAAAAAAGAGAAAATTACTAAATATGGACGGCTGCCCGAGGAGCAGGCATTTTGTGGCTAGACTACGCAGGGGATAAGCTCAGCATGCAAGGTCTGCCCTTGATGGCCTCCCAGACGGAGGTCTCTGCTGCCTTGTCAAATAACCTCATGCGGCACCCGGCTGCTTTAGTCACTCACCTGGTCACCTCCGGCGAGTCAATATGGACTCAAGGCAATCAGGCAGGATTATTACGGAGATGTGGTGAGGACCGTCACTCCCAAGTCTTCACAGCCAGGTCTGCCCTCTTGCCATGTCTTATCCCCCTCTACCCACCCTTTCACTTTTTCTCCTTCTAATTGCTTTCTCCTTTGTTTAGCAGGTTCAGGAGAGAAGAAGAAAGCACCTGGGCTACTTGGATTGCTCCTCATTAGCTACAACAAGGTATTTTGCCATACCACATTAACATATTGTGTGTGTGTGTGTAGGTAGGCGGTGGCAGGTTAATAAAAATTATGGCATGTTAAAAGTGAAGGGGCTTTTACACATGTAGCCCCCAGATACCCCAGCTCTCTCCTTCAGAGTTTGCTTTGTGCTGAAATGGAAGCCACATGTGACAGATGTTCACTTAAAGGCTTCATGTACAGAATTCCTTGCAGGCAAATGGGGAAAAACAGCTTCCCCTCCATATGCACGCACGCACACACACACACCTTTTACATATTGTTGCCAACTCTGGGTTTGGAATACCTGGAGGTCTAAGGGTGGAGCCTAGGAGAATGGGGTTTTTGGAGAGGAAGGACCTCGGTAGGGTATACGAACGCCATTCCCCCAGCGGTGTGGGAAAACCCCCGTTTTCTGGGCTTCAGCCTGCCGCCAGCCAGCCCCACCCCCAAACAGGGATGTCATGCAGGGACGCTCTGGTATCTGGGCAAACTCTATGATTTTGAGGCCAAAAAAAACCCATAGAGTTTGCTCAAACAACAGATCTTCCCCCGTGCAACATCACTTCCAGGTGGCCCGGGGCAGTGGGGCCCTGAAATATATGCGGCTCTTAACTTTCCTGTCAAGCCTAAATTTATTTTGCTGCATTCATGTAAAATGGACTAGTTATGATTTAATACATAAATACATATAAATTAACTGGCATAGTTAAATAATTTACAAGTATAAACACTTTTCATCAAGCAAAACTGCAAATATACCTAATGTTTAAGAGGGAGCTACAGTCTGCTATGCTAATATATTTCCTTTTTTGCCCTCTGAGAAGTAAGAAAAAGGGAAATAGCTGAACACAGAACACACATTTTGTATAGAAAAGGAAAGAAATAGTCTCATACAGCCACAATACACAAAGTAAAACTACTGCACAGAACACTTAATAACTTATTAAACATATTCTAGCATCTCAACTGTTTGTTTTTTTAAGTACCCGAGGATACACTTTTATTATTATTTTTTCATTATACACTACAAACATACGTACAAACAACACATAACTACCTCCAACAACACATAACATATAGCAAGAGACATTTCTCACTCCTTCTGCTTATTAAATTTCTAAATTCATTATCTATTTTACAAGCATCTCAACTGTTGTCTAAATTTACAATTTAACAATAGTGATGCCCCTGAAAATATGCTGTACGTGTCTACAATATACAGACTCACTACCTAATGTTGTCCTACATTCCCCCTCCCTTTCATTCATTCCAAAAGAAGTTTTTCCTTCTCTTTCAGAATGAATGAAATGCTTTTTAAACCAAGGCTTTAGTTGCTCAAGATGTACAGCATGAAAAAGTCTGAGGATTAGTCTCCATTTTCCCAGTGGAAAAACTGGGAGTACCTTGGGGGAAAACAGAAAGACACACAAACACCCCAAATTTCTCTGCCCCCCCTCCAGCCTTCACATCGGCTACATGGACCACTTATCACATTTAGATTAAATCTTAATTGTAGCCGGAGCCAGGCAAATGTGACGCCCAATCCTGGCTTTTATCCAGAACACTTGCATGACAGACCATAAACCAGCTCTCCTTCCTGACCCATCAATAGTTTATCCCAGTACAATCTTTGCTCTTTTTAGGGCTGATTCAGACATGCGTTCAAGGAAAAGCATTAACATTCAAGCAATACAAAGTGAACTGAAGGCTCGGGATCGATGGTGGAAAGCACTGATGTTTCAGTTAACAAGGGATGGATATGCTATGTGTGAACTTGCCCCAAGTGAGATAAGCACAGGCCACTGCCTTTGTCTTGCAGAAACAGAGAAGACTTGCCAAGAAAAAGAGGCAGCATTATCCTGCTCTCTGCACCTCCGGGATGCATTTGTGAGCCAGGCACACAATTTCACCTACAGAGAAAGTTTACAAGCAGACTTCCTTTCCCAGGCTCTGCCATAAATAGCCAACATTTTTGCAGAACAATTAATCCTGGCACAGCCAAGCACATTCCCACAGTGTGGCAAGCTCCCAACTCTCGAAGAGGACATCTGATTTGGGGGCAGAGGCTAAACAACTGTGTGTGTAAAATGCCCCCGAGTCACAGCCGACTTGGGGTGAGCCTGCAGGGTTTTCAAGGCAAGAGATGTTGAGAGGTGGTTTGCCGTCGTCTGCCTCTGCATAGTGACCCTGGTATTCCTTGGTGGTCTCCCATCCAAATACTGACCAGAACCAACCCTGCTTAGCTTCCAAGGCCTAATGATGATGATGAAGAAGAAGAGATTGGATTTATACCCCGCCCTTCACTACCCAAGGGGGTCTCAGAGCGGCTTACAAACTCCTTTCCCTTCCCCTCCCCACAACAGACACCCTGTGAGGTAGGCGGGGCTGAGAGAGCTCTTGACAGAAACTGCTCTTTTTCAAGAACAGCTCTTATCAGAACTACGGCTTGCCCAAGGTCATCCAGCCAGGTGCAAGTGGAGGAGTGGGGAATCAAACCCGGTTCTCCCAGATTAGAGTCTCCGCACTTAACCACTACACCAAACTGGCTAGCCTGGGCCACCCAAGTTGGGACTGAAACAACTAGGAAGTACCTATTCTGGTTAGGATTGTCAGAGCCTGCCTCCCGGTTCCTCCCTGAAGATCTTCTGTAACACATGCAAAGCACATACGCCGCGATGATGTCTCCAGAAGTTACGTCATCGCATTTCCAAAGTTGGGGGCAACCCTCTAGGTTTTCGGCAAAACTCAATGGGGGTTTTTTTTGCCTCAAAACCATAGGGTTTTGCCCTTAACCTAGAGCATCAACCTCAACATCGGAAACTCAATGATGTCTCTCCCAGGTGATGTCCTCACAGTGGTGCCAGCAGCACAGGGGGGGGGGTGCTTCTCAGAGGTGGGGCTTCCCCCGCCAGCCAGCTGGGTTGCGGGCTGATTGGGAGCCCTGAAATCAGGGGATCCTCTGGCCCCACTGGGGGGGGGGATAGCAACCCTAATTCTACTGCATTTTTTATTCTCCCCCCTCCTCTAAGGTGCCCAGAGTTGCAAGCATGGTATTCCCTTCCCCTATTTAACCTGCATAAGAAGCCCTGCAAGGCGGGCTAGGCTGAGAAAGAGGCTGGGGCCCAAGGTCACCCAGTCAGATTCGCGACTGGGTGGATGTCTGAACCCAGAGCCTAGCCTGATGTTACACTGGCCGTGCAAGAGCACGAGACAGCTGCACGCACCAAGACTGTAGCAAGGCAATCGGCAGACTGCTTGCACAGACTCCTCTTCTCCGGCACTCCTGCAGCCGTTCAGAGGAATGTGCAGATGTCAACAACATATTTGTGTAGGAAGAGACACGCCCCGCAGGACTGCGCCAAGACATCAAGTCCAGCATCTGGGCTCCAAGAGTAGCCCGTCAGATGCCTCTGGGAAGCTCTCGAGCTGGGTCTGAAAGCCACGCCTTCTCCCTGTCTGGTACGCCCTGATATCCCGCCCATGAACACGGGAGGTTCTGTTTCGCTCTTGTGGCGTGCAATTATTGACAGTCCTACCCTGCCCGTGATAAAGGAAGGATCAGACATCCAAGCAAGACATCCAGCGTTAGGGAGCAGACATCCAAGTGGCGAGCCTCACACCCTGTGGACATTTTACTACAGACCTGGTGCTTCCCAAGCGTTCCGTGCCCATTATCATTTATGAATAAAGACAAAAGGCTGGGTTCTCAAAAACAGACATACAGTGCCCCAAAGACTCCCACTGCTAATAAATCACCACAGCCTTATATCCTTTGTCCCCGAAATGAATCCAACTGCATATCAGAGGGGAAAGTGGGACAGAGATCAAACCGAAAGACTTACTGCAGGAACTTGGTGCTTGGGGGGGGGGGGGGGGTGCCAAGTGGGGCGGATCACTGAAAATGTCGAGACAGTGTGTGACTGCAATAAAGAAGGCCAATGCTATGCTGGGGATTATTAGGAAGGGTATTGTAAACAGATCAGCCAATATCATAATGCCGCTATATAAATCAATGGTGCGACCTCATTTGGAATACTGTGTGCAGTTCTGGTCACCACACCTTAAAAAGGATATTATAGCTTTGGAAAAAGTGCAGAAAAGGGCAACTCGAATGATAAAAGGGTTGGAACACTTTCCCTATGAGGAACGGTTAAGGCGCTTAGGGCTCTTTAGCTTGGAGAAACGACGACTGAGGGGTGACATGATTGAGGTTTATAAGATTATGCATGGGAAAGAGCAGGTAGAGAAAGAGGTACTTTTCTCCCTTTCTCACAATACAAGAACCCGTGGGCACTCCATGAAATTGCTGAGCGGTCGGGTTAGAACGGATAAAAGGAAGTACTTCTTCACCCAAAGAGTAATTAACACTTGGAATTCACTGCCACAGGAAGTGGTGGCGGCTACAAGCATGGATGGCTTCAAAAGGGAATTAGATAAGCATATGGAGCAGAGGTCCATCAGTGGTTATTAGCCACAAGGTATAGATAGGGACTCTGGGGCAAGTGATGCTCTGTGACATCTTGGTGCTTGGGGGGGGGAGTCAACAGTGGGAGGGCTTCTAATGTCCTGGCCCCACTGGTGGACCTCCTGATGGCACTGGTATTTCTGGCCACTGTGGGATACAGAGTGTTGGACTGGATGGGCCTTTGGCCTGATCCAACATTGGCATCTCTTATGTTCTTATGTTCTTATGGAATGGGCAGGGAGCACTGCCCCAGCACGGGATCCGTCTAGTAGTCAGAATTTCCTACACAGCTCTTCTTTTACAGCATGGGTCCAAAGCCATCGTTATCTAGATGATCACACGGCTTTAAAAAGGACCTCCAGAGGAACAGAAAGCGCAGAATACTGTCAGAAGAGCTAGACACGAGGCGAGGCATACAAAGGGTGGCAAACTGTGCGGTATCTGCCAGACAGCTATAACCACCACTTCTCCCTTCCGGTGGTTGTTCCCCTCCTCTGCTACGACCTCAGAGTCTTCCCACATCCAGCCCTCCCTTCCACCCCTCAGCAGCAGAGAACGCCACCGGGGAGATCGGATTTTGGGGAAGGGAGAAACAGAGATGCAGAGTGATAGATCTTCAAATGATTGGTCTACAGGGTACTGGTTCCCCGCTTCACCATGGAGAATTCCAACCGTTCTGTGTCAGGAGACAGTTTTGTTCGTCACACAGAAATCAACATCCTGAGAAGCTCACGCCTGCATTTTAAAAACATACACACAAAGCCCAAGTTTCTAGTCCTCGTGTTTGCAAGCAGACACTTGAAAGCACACGGGCAAGGCCTTGCAAGGTGGACCTACACCAAGGGATCAGCATGTGCCAAGAGAGACATACGTACACAGAAATCAACTATGATGACACTTATTTTATTTCGGGGATGCAAAGCTGCTCCCAGCATTCTCCTCTCCTCCATTTTACCCTCTCAACAACCCTGCAGGGTAAACCAGGCTGAGAGTGGGCAACTGCACCAACATCACCCAGTAAGCTTTCGTGGTCGAGCCGGGGATTCAAACCTGGTTCTCCCAGATCCTACGCTGACAATAACCACTACGCAGTGCAGCCCGTAGCGTGTCAGTCCTTTTTTTCTGAGCAGCAGAGACACCCAAGCCGGGCACTGCCTATGAAACAGAGAAGCCAGCTAGACACACCTGCCTGCCCCGCCCGTAACCCCCTTTAGATTATGCTCCCGGCACCCCCTACCCTGCCTGCAAAGAAAGAGCTGAGTGTACACAGCAAACAAAACTTAGTCCTCCTGGCTTTGGTCCCAGGAAACCTGCTCTTTGTCCCACAACACAGAATACTTAAGAGTATTTGCATTCCCTATTAACAGACTTCAGGAGGACACCTGGAAGCAACAGTTTCAATGTTCCCACGGAAGGGGAGCTAGCTGAGGGATCCGAACCCCGCCGGGGGAGGGGGGGGAGCCGGCAGCTGGAGCTTCAGACCTGGTGACGGCACCGTGGAAAAACTATGGCTAAGCAGAACAAATGACACGCCTGGCACATCTAGATTGGGAAACTCCTGGAGATTTGGGGTGGAGCCTGGGGAGGACAGGGACCTCAGTGGGGGACAATGCCATAGAGTCCGCCCTCCAAAGCACCCGATCTCTCAAGGAGAAGTGATCTCTATCATCTGGAGAGGAGCTGTAATTCCAGGGGATCCCCTGGTCTCACCTGGAGGCTGGCATCCTTAGGATATATACACACAGGAGGCGGAGGAGGTGGCAAAACGGAATACAATGTTCTGCTACGTCCAGCAGGTGAAGGAGGAAAACACCATCATGTTTCAGTAACAAAGACACTGCAAGGCGAAAGTTAGCAGAACCTGCCAGATTTCTTCTTCTCAGTTTTTGTTTTTTTCAAGTGGACGGGATTCAATTCAATTAAGCTATTCCACCAACTGCAGTAACGAATGATCTTTTATTACCTTACGGTACCGTATTCGAGACCAGGATCTTTTCTGGATATGGACTGTAATGGGGTGGGTGGGGGGAGAAGAATGCACACACAGTCCTCGTTTCGCAGGGCAAACTACCACGGCCGCTCCAACCTGGCATCCTTCCCGTTCAGGGATTAACTCAGCAGGCCCGGCCAGACTAGCACGAAAAGCATCCTTCTCCTACAAAGCCTCCCCCCCTCCCAAGCATGCAGTTAAGCTGCCCTTGCCCACTAAGACACTGGCACGCCGCAGGCAGCAGGGGCTCGTGACTTACCCAACACAATGAGCTCAGCGTAGGCTTCGGTGTTGCCTTGCAGGTCTTGAGGGGAGATCACGGAGCAGTAGTACACCCCGCTGTCCCCCCAGGCGGTCTGCTCTATGCTGAGGTCAGCATCTGGGGAGGGAAGAAAGAGGAGGTAAAAAAAAAGTGTAAATGCCAAACACCGGGATGCTCAACCTTCCCAGGCGCATCAATTTGTAGAGCGGAACATGCCGATTTTCCGTGTGTAGTACACATTTCACACATCTTCACTCAAAGAGGCATCTTTTCGCTGCAAATAGCTTTGTAATGTTTTGTTCCTTGACCAAAAAATAAGGTTCTTTTCAGGTCTTCCAGTTAAGATCTTCCTCACAAGCCCTCCCCTCTGTGCCCCTGCCTGCAGAGGCGAGGCAGCTGGCAACCAGGGACAGGGCATTTTCAGTGGTGGCACCTCACCCGTGAAACACGCTTCCTCTCAAGCCTAACCTGATACACACTCTCTATTCCCTTTTACTTGCCCGGCCAAAACATTTCCTTGAACCCAAGTTTTTAATTAAGGGGCTGATCTTTTATCATCGTTTTTAATACTCTGCTTTTAGCCAGAGGATATTTTATGAGTTTTAAGCTGCTCAACTTTTGCACTGTTTTTATGCTCTTGCTGCGTTTTTAATCGTTCTATTATTTTTAATGGTGGCTTTTGCTTTCATTATGTTTTGCTTTCTAAGCTGCCTCGAGCAGGTTCTCTGGACGGCACAGAAATTTTTCAAATGCATAACTAAAGTAAATTCTTCTCCCAGCATATTTAATATTTACTACTAGCTGCATGCACGAGGAATCCACGGGAGTCGCAAGAAGTGATTGACCATTTTTCAACAGGCAGAGCAACAAATACAAATGGCAACCAATTATTAACTATCTGCCTATTAGGCATCTTGATGCCTTTCAACATATGGGCGTTCAATACTGCTGACTTTCCAAAACACCGAAGCGTATGAAAGAAATCGTACTTTCATAAACAAAAGCTGCCATTCATTGTTAGCAGGAAAAGGTCATCTTTATTTATTTAATGTATGTACGTGCTGCTTTTCAACGCAGAAGTGTTCCCAAAGCTGTTCAACTGGAGTGGGAGTGCATGGGGAAGGGCTGTGGAACAGCAGCAGAGCACCAGTGGTGCACACAGAAGGCTCCAAGTTCAATCCCCGACATCGGCAGCAAAGGAGATCAGGAAGCAGGTGACGTGAAAGACCTGGGAGAGCTGCTGCCAGCCAGAGAAGGCAAGACTGGTCTTGAGAGCACAGAGGCCTGACCTGCTATTTATTATTTACATTATTTATAGTTTGCCTTTCTCACTGAGATTCAAGGCAGATTACACAGGGTAAATCAATGCAGGGATGGGACAAAACATCTAATAAGCAATGTAATACCACGAGAATTAGAGAAATCAGAAATAAAGCCTAGAGCATTCGACGTGACATGTTGAACAAGGGAGAAATTGTGCTACCAAGAAAAAGCAACACTGAAAGAGCAGGATAATACATACTATACCCAGTGGTATAGTCCAAAGTCACATTCCCTTTATAGCACAACAGACACCTTGTGGGGTAGGTGGGGCTGAGAGGGTTCCTAGAGAACCGTGGCTGGCCCAAGGCCACCCAGCGGGCTTCAAATGGAGGAGTGGGGAATCCAACCTGGTTCTCCAGATTAGAGTCCACTGCTCTTAACCACTCCTGCACCATGCCTCCTCAACCATTCCATTCTCATAGAGCCCTATTACCTTCATTAAAAAGCCCTTATAAACAATTTCTGTTTTATGTCTGCAGATTGACAGATGCATTAACAGCATCCCTGACCTTCCCAGGTAGGCTGTTTCACGAGGGAGGGGCCAGCACAGAGAACGGAT